CATGTATGTTTTCAGATTCTGAGATAATCTCTGCCCGCGGTTGAAAATCATCATTAAAGGATGAGAAAGCGTTCACCAGTAGGTGTACATCCTTTTATTCTATCGTCATAAAGTTGTCTAAATCTTCTGTGCAGTCAGGAATTTGGCGAAACATTTCTTCGAGACTTGTCCGAATGTCTAAAAAGCTGGTTTTTGGGCATCAGCTTTAGCCATCATATCACGCAGTACAAAATGCAATCTCGGTTTTAATTGCTTGCTTTTAATGCGTCCAAATGATAAGAGGAGACCTCAAGGGTATTGACGCGTTAAGCCCTTGGTATTAATGATGACGATTTGGGAGCACATCAAAGCAAGTAACGTGGTTTTCTTATCGAAACTTGTGCCTGGCGATGTATTTCTGAGCTGTAGACCCCATGCCATCTTTTTTTGCAAGGTTATAAATTTAAATCAATTCTCTCTCTAATTGTTAACTTATTAGTAGTTTAAAAAAGATAAACCTGAATCCAGTATAAGGAGGTCAATTAGCTAGCTGTCTGTTAAACACAGAATGGCGATATGACATATACATTCCCTTTGTAATATAAAATAAATTAGCCGAAGTTATTATTATATTGGTTGCCACCAATGCCTATGGACACAACCACTCCAATATTACCATCGTCCAACCGAAGTCGAAAAACCGCATTTGAAGAGGTAATTCAACAAGGTAGACTTGCCTGAGCACTCTAAGCCGATAACAGAAATGGCAAGTTGTTGACGGTTTGGATCCGTCATTCTTGATGCTAGGACCTTTGATAAAAAGTTAGGATCGAGCGCTCGGAGCGATAATCCATCTAACATTTGCATAGTCTCTCCTTCTGTTGCCCAAGTTTGGTAGGCGTTCTCCGAGTCCTGGAGAAATGCATCATTAATAATTTAAACTATGAAATACTACAACGCAAAATAAAACCATTTCTTACTTAATGTCAACAGAATAAAGTTTTTGAGAAACAGTAGTGTCCTCGTGACCATGAACTTTGCAAGAATAACTAATTCCCGCCAAAGATCATGGATTGAGATATCATTATCTTCAATCTGCTGTATGATACGTTGCTGAGTGAACTCTTCGGATTGATCCAACCCTGAGAGGTCGCGTAAATGCTCTTTAAAGAAGTTATCGACGTCTCGAGCAAATGCGCGCATTTCACATATGTCGTTTTCATTAATTTCTTCTGCAAATAAGGATAGTATGGGTGAAGGTGACGCGTTACCTATGGCAGATTTAAAACTTTCAATTCTCTGAGATAATTCCTCTTCAGTTATAAATTTATAGTTATCCTCCAAGGTTATCAAATGGTTCTTATCCATAAGGCTTTCAATTTCGTGTTCAGCCGACGTCCCGCATGCACTGGGCAAAAGTTCTGTGAGTCATCACGCCGGACCAAATAATAAATTGGGTAACATCAGTGATTGCATGGGAACTGGTTGAAATATTGAGCGAAAAAGGTGGATACAAATATAACTCTTTCACTTTCAAAATAGCATTATATATTATCGGCCTTTAATTTATTTAGTTGCTGTTGACCTTTGGAAGTCGAGTCTCTTGAAGCCAATACTAAATCTTGATTCAAGAATTTGTTCGATCAAATACTTTCGCTTATTCAATGTATCACGCGCCCTTTGACCCGTCTTTTTTTGGGTATCCTTGTACAATGCTAAAATTTTGCGTTTTTCTTCGGTATATCGATCCGTGGAAATTGTAAGGATTTGATTTTCTAGTTTTTAGCTGATTCATCACCACACCATTGAAATCATTATCAGAGACATGTATAATTAGAAAGAAGGCATATTGGGAGAAATTATTCACAATGCCATTCATGAATTGGAACGGTATCTTGCTATTAATACTTCAGCTATTGCAACCGGTTGTCGAATGTGATTTTAGAAGAGATATCGATTGATCCCGGATGAGAAATCGAAATGATATCTTCCCGATTTGTGCTCAAAATTGGATACAATTGT